GGGGACACCTGGGGACATGGGGGGGTCACCTGGGGACACCTGGGGGGGACATTGGGGACACCCGGGGTCACCGGGGGGGGTCGGGGGCTCCAGGGGTACCGGGGACCCCGAGGCTCGCTGGGGACAGGAGCGACCGGGAACAGCGGGAATTCCCGGGAATTGGGAATTGCCGGGAAACACCGGGAACAGCGGGAATTCCCGGGAATTGGGAATTGGGAATTGCCGGGAAACACCGGGAAACACCGGGAACAGCGGAATTAACGGGAATCGGGAATTGGGAATTGCCGGGAACTGGAACCACAGGAATACCGGAATGAACGGGAACACCGGGAATGTGGGAACTGCCGGGAGCAGCGGGAACCTCGTGAAGGGCGGGCAAAGGACACGGCGGGGAGAGAACGGGAGGGGAACCGGGAACGGAGGAACCGGGAACGGAGAGACCGGGAACGGGAAGGGAGGAACCGGGAACGGGAACCGGGAATGGAGAGAGGAACCGGGAACACCGCTCTCGGTGCCGGGAACGCCGAGCAGGACGGGCGGAGCGCCGGGAGCTCGGGGATGAGCCGGGAGCTCGGCCGGGAGCTCCGGAGGGCACCGGGACAAATCCCGGGCCCGTGAGGGGGCGGCCCCGAGCCCGCCGTGACCTTCCCCCCCCGCCCCGCGGTCCCGGGGCCCGCACTCACCGCGCCGGGGCCGCAGCCGGAGCCGGGGCAGCCCCGCGGGCGGAGCAGAGCGCGGGCGGCGAGGCCGGGCCGGGCCGGGCCCGGGAGGAGCCGCAGCCCCGGGAGGCCCCGCAGGCCCCGCAGCGCCGCCATCGCCGAGGTCGAGGGGACGCGCCGCGACGCCCCGGAAGTGACGCGGGAGGAAGTGACGTCACGGAGCGGCAGGGCACGTGACCCCCTCCGCTGACGGTTTTTATTTATGGCGCCACCGGGCGGAAGGGCGGGAAACGCGCGACGGGAGAGGCCACGCCCACAAACGGACGCGTCAATCAAACAGAAGCCACGCCCACAATGGACACTTCAATCAACAAAGTCCCCTCCCATTGTCAAAGCCACGCCCACAATGGACACGTCAATCAAAGGGCCCGCCCATCGCTGAAGCCCCGCCCACAAACGGGCACATCAATCAAGGAAAGCCCCGCCCATTGTTATAGCCCCGCCCACAAATGGGCATGTCAATCAAAAATCTGTCAAATAAACGTCAATCAGTCCGTGGGTCCGTCCAGGTGTGTCCAGGTGTGTCCGTGGGTCCGTCCGGGGCTGTCTGTGATTCCATCCAGGTGTGTCCAGGTGTGTCCAGGTGTGTCCGTGGGTCCGTCTGTGATTCCATCCAGGTCAGTCCGTGGGAGTGTCCGTGGGTCTGTCCCTGC